GCTTCCCCTTTGAAATCAAGAACAAGATAATGATGGTCCCTATCCCCACTTCTATTCAGCAATATAATGGAGGTCTCCAGTGAAGTAAGGAAAACAGCAGCAGCAAATGGTATAAGGATTGGAAAGTGTATTATTTATTGCTCCATAACATATTACACCAGAGTTTAGTGGCTTAAAACAACAAACATTATCTCATAGTTCCTGTAAGTCAGAAATCCACGCACAGGGAGGTGGGGCCAAGATGGCGGAGTAGGCAGACCCTTCTGGTGGACCCTCTGACAACAAAGACCCAAAAAAACAAGTGAATCAATTATATGACAATGTAGGAGCCCTGAACATCTAAGGCAAAGTTGAGGAACCGGACTGAGTGGCAGGGGGAGAGACGGTTAGGAAGCAGTGAGGAGTTGCCAGAGCTGACCCGGCGAAAGCATGAGCCCTTCAGCCTGATCAGCTCATGGGAGTGGTGAGGCAGGCAAGCAGCAGTGCTCAGGAGGTGTGCTTTCCACACAGGGAGAGACCCAGCGCCAGAGAGTCTACTCGGCCACCCAGAACCAGTGAGAAGCAGCCCTCGATCGGTGAAAGATAAGTACTTGCATACGGCCTACCGTGCGGATCAAAAACACCCCTTAGGGAAAAACCTCTTTCCCATTTACCTCCCCACTCCCTGCTCTGCACTGGGTCCCAGACTGGCTTCAGCAGTTGCCGAGTCCCCTGGGCTGGAAGTAAGATCCATCACACACCCGGAGCCATTCTCCCAGCCTTGGAGAGTGAACAAATTAACAAACGGGAAAAAATAAACTGCCGGCTCCCCTAAGCCAGGGTAGGCCCAGCTCCTTTGCCTAGGCACAGGCATAAGGGATCCATGGACTTTGAGTGCCTTTCCCTCTGCAGAGACTTATGTAGGCCCATTTCAACAGCATAGGCCCTCATTACTGCAGTACAACAGGGTATATACCTGCAGTCTAACTTCAACTGTTTCAGCTGTGAAGTGGCAGGTTCGTGACATTTGACACTGCTCTGTCCATTAAGCAGGGTCTTCACCTACCCACATCACGGGTCTGAAGACTGGTGGCTCCACCCATGCCACCTAGCCACTTGCGATAGGGACCCAAGAATAAGAGATGCCCCCCAGTCCTTACAGCCAACAGCATTGGGTGCTCATAGTCCGGCTGCAAAACCCACTCACCTACGCACTCTAGGGAACAGGGACACGCCTTCCTCCTGGACACTCAGGGGAAGCCATCAGCCCCCTGCCTTGCTCAGAGTGTGTCCCCCTGCTGCAGCCAGATACCTCTGCCTACACCAATCACCCATGCCTGTCTAGTACTGTAGGTGAGAACCTACACCACATACTTGGTGGCTTTCTACTGGGCACCTGAGCTGAATCCATACAGGAGGAGTGGGTGGGCTCCTGAGCTCACATAACTAGTAACAGATCTAACCACCCAGTGACAGGACATTAGAGCTTCAAAGCTGCCAATAATCAAACTAGCTTATATGAGCAGCCTATTTGGGCATATCAAAATAAGACAAAAAGCTAGGACACAGTAAGCAAACATAAAATAAATAAATATAATAACTTACTGATGGCTCAGAGACAACAGTCAATATCAGATCAGATAAAGTGGCAATCCATGATGGCTTCAGCAAGCTCCCAAAATAAAGAACCTAGAAATTTTCCAGAGGATGAAAATTTCTTAGAATTACCAGAGGCAGAATACAAAAGATTAATATACAGAAGTCTTCGAGAAATTAGGAAGGAAATTAATCAAAATGCAGAACACGCAATAGAGGAAATTAAAAAGATTAGACAAGAGCATAATGACAAATTTAACAGGCTGCAAGAATCCACAGAGAGACAGCAATCAGAAATCCACAAGATTAACACTAAAATTTCAGAGTTAGACAACGCAGTAGAAAGTCATAGGAGTAGAATTGAGGCAATGGAAGTCAGAATTGGTGAGATTGAAGACAAAGCACTTAACACCATCTTATTTGAGGAAAAATCAGATAAAAGGATCAAACAAAATTAAGAAACCCTAAGAATTATGTGGGCTCTATATGAGTGATTGGAGTACCAGAACACAGAGGGAATAACCGAAAATACAGAGAGAACTGTTCAAGATTTGTTGGCAGAAAACTTCCCTTATATTGTGAAAGATGACAAGATATCTATCCGAGACGCTCATCGAACCCCACATACGGTAGATCCCAAAAGAAAGTCACCAAGACATATTATAATCAAACTTGCCGAACCAAAGATAAAGAGAGAATTTTAAGAGCGGCTAGGGATGAAAGAAAAGTCATCTACAAAGGAGAGTCAATAAGAATAAGCTTGGACTACTCAGCAGAAACCATGCAGGCAAGAAGGCAATGGGATGACATATATAAAGCCTTGAAGGAAAAAAACTGCCAGCCAAGAATTATATATCCAGCAAAACTGTTTCTCAAATATGATGGCAAAATTAGGGCATTTCCAGATAAACAGAAGTTTAGGGAATTTACAGAAACCAAACCAAAATTACAAAGAATACTAAAGGGAGTCCTCTGGTTAGAAAATTAGTAACATCAGATAACAACCCAAGACTAGAACACAGGACAGAGCAACCAGATATCAACCCAGATAGGGAAGTCACAAAAATAAATCAAAGCTAAAACACTGAAAATAGGGAAACAGAAATCAATACATAAAAGATGACAACATTAAAACAAAAAAGAGGGACTTAAAAAACGTAGACATAGATTTTTCATATGGAGAGGAAATCAAGGCGATAAAAAGAAATAAAAGACTGGTATAAACGTAGAAAAATAGTGGTAAATATGAAGGTAACCACAAAGGAAACTAACAATCCTACAAATCAAAATAAAAAACTAGAAAAATATAAAGACTCAGCAAACAGAAAATTAACAACAATGAAAAGAAAGTACATAAAGAAATCCAGGCACAGCTTAGCTGAGTCCTCTGACTCAGGGTCTCTCTCTCACAAGGCTGCAATCAAAGTATTGGCTATACCTGCAGTCACTTGCACAAGAAGTATCTTCTTACAAGATCACTCACATTGCTGTTGGTAGCCTTCAGGTCCTAGCTGGCTGCTGGAAGAGACAACATGGCAGCTGGCTTCCCTCAAAGCAAATGAGGGAGAACGTGAGAAGGCAAACAAAATGGAAGCCAGAGTCTTTTTGTAACCTAATCTTGAAAGTGATAGCCCATAACTTTTGCTGTATTCTATTTGTTAAAAGTGTGTCACTAGGTCCAGCCCACACTCAAGGAGAGGGGATTACACAAGGGCATCTATATTAGGAGGTGGAGATCATTTTAGATGCCGTCAATCACAGAAAGGAAGAGCCAAAACTGTTGTTATTTGTAGATTATATGGTAAATGTAGAAAATCCAAAAACGTGCCACTAAATTCACACTAAACAAGAGTTAGTAAGAAAGTCTAGCAATGTTATTGGATACAAAAATCAATTTTATACTATATACAAGCAACAAAAAAAGTAATCTTTTAGATACCATTTACAATAGGATTAAACATCAAGGTATTTATCTGTTGAAAAATAACTGTTGAAGCTGTTAATAATTAACTTCAACAGTTAATGATTTAACTATTGAAGCAAAGGGATGGTTACCATTCTCTTTACTTTTGCATGTATTTGAAAATTTTAATATTAACATTAAAAAAAAACTGTCAAATACCTAGGAATAAAGTTAACCAAAAAATTGAAAAGCTTTACAGAGAGGTTTTTTTTGTTTTCCCCTCATTAATTCTAAATAAATGGAGGGATAAACCATGATCATGGGCTGGAAAACTTAATATTGCAAATATAGCAGTTCTCTCCAAATTGATTTACACATTCAGCACAACTAGAATCAAAATTTCAACAGGGTGTGTGTGTGTGTGTGTGTATGTGTGTGCGCACAAGCGTGTATGTGTGTAGCTTGACAAGCTGATTTTAAAATTTACACAAAAGTGCAAAATTGAAAAAGTATATGTTCAACCACATTAATAATCAAGGAAATGCAAAGTAAAACCATAATGAGATACCACTTATTATACACCCACCAGACTGACAGAAGTTCAACTCTGACTACCAATATTTTGGTAAGGATGTTAAGCAAAGGGAACTCTCATAGACTGCTAATGGAGTGTTAATTGGTACCACTTTGGAAAATTGTTTGAAATTATCTACTCACCAATTTCTCACTGAAGTGGTAATGATATTTTATGGCCTCTCTATAAATATATTTCATAAGAAAACAAGTAATCTTAAGGAAAAAGAAGAAAACCATCTCATACACTTCCAAAGATAAGCAATAGGAGAGGAGACTCTGGAAAGTAAACTCTACCTTGGAGGACAAACAACACAGAAGGTGACTTATTCTTTGCTCTAAACAGAATGCCAAGGCATAAGAATAAAACCTGAAACAGTAAAATCTCCCATTACATTATATGCTTATATATGTGGAAAGTAAAGTGATGCCTGAACCACTAGCAATACTTTTTTATCCCCTATTTTTAAATAAGCAAAATCTGAGTCAGCTGTAGGAGGCATGTTGTTACAAAAGAACAGAAGCAGATCCCAAGTGCAAGGAAAAATTAGTCCAGCAAGCCAATTAGTGAGTGTTACTTTTAGCTTTTTGGGTAATTGCTCTCAAAAGAAGCTATCCAGGTACTCCATAATCCAAGTGTACCACTATTTTGTAAAAGGGCAAGGCAAAGCAAGAGAAATCAACAAAGCACCTTCCAACACTCCAAATACAAAGGCCCGACTTTTTATTCTATTCTAGAAAGATCGACTAATGTGAGAACACTGGCAAAGGCACTGGAAGATGCTCTCTGACTTACCTGAATACATGCCAAAAAAAACCCTCAGATACCGAATTTAAAAAAGAACAAAAGTTTTATTTATTTACATTCCATTTACTTTCAAAAGGATGAAGACGCTGGGAAAAATACATTTTTAAAGGGAAATAGTCCCGTTTTACTTAATCCATCTGTGTTTTTCACACACACACAAATATATGTATATGTGTGTGTGTGTGACTTAGAGTAACAGCTCTAAGGGAACCCAAAGAATTTATCATCCAATTCATCTTTCCATCTTTAGCCAAGTCTGAAATAATACCACTGCAGGCAAGTAAAAATCTACTCCACTTACAGGTAAACACCAGTTAATGCTGGTGTTATGAAAGAATCAGCTTTAGTAAAATCTGTCAGAATAACCAACATATTTACATTAAACAAAAACAACAGCCATTCACAACACAGAACATTAAGAACCTTCAAGCAGCAGTGTAAAACAGAATTTACACAACAGAAATCACATTTGGCTATTAAGTCAATAGCATCACAGTAACAGTACCCAGTGTATTTCTTATTCAAGTATATACACTACTTTTAAGACTTGGTTACAGCAAAAACATCAGTAACAAGAATATACACACAATTACTTTTATTTTATTAAACACCATGAAAAACAGCAACAAATAAAAAGATGAAAATACATTACATTTAATTTTGTAGCAATTACAAACATGTTAACATTGCCACTATACATTTGACCCATAATTTTTAATTGATTTGTACGTTTTAAAAATAGCATTGCTTTATAAAAATACTGATAATGGCTAAACATATTTTAAAAGTTGATAATCTTTTATTTCAGTAGTTTATATTTTATGCTATTCTTTCTTCCATCAACACATCCATCACTCAAACAACAACAACAACAACAGAGGTCTCTACAGTCTGCAGAATTACATCCGAAAACTTCTAGTCCTTTGAAATGGTTGGAAAGGCTTTTTTAGTGCCCACATCAGCAGCTGTGGTCTTGGTTTGGGTTTTTCAGGAAACAGAAGTGTTTCACTTTCTGGTGTAGGAAATCGTTGTTGGTAGACTTCAGGATAGGATTTCTGAAACTGGAAAATGGTCCAAGAGAGTTAAAAAGACAGATAAGGGCCAATAAAATAGGGCAACCAAATTTTAAAATAAAATTTCTAATTTTCCCATACTTTCCTGATATTGTTCTAATGTTTATTGTTTTGCATCAGAAAATAGTATAAATAAGAACACACACACACACACAAACCAAACCTGTTGCTGTCAAGTTGATTTCGACTCAAAGCAACCCTATAGGACAGAGTAGAACCGCCCCATAGGGTTTCCAAGGAGCACCTTGTGGATTTGAACTGTTGACCTTTTGGTTAGCAGCCATAGCTCTTAACCACTATGCCACAGGATTTCCAATAGGAACACAGGTCACAATCAAATTCACTTCAACACAAACCCATTTCTTCTCTTAAATCATTTGATTCCACTTCCTATTGACCAAATTTATCTTCAATTTGATCCTATCTTTACATAAAGTTCACCTTTTAGGCATACTTCTTAAAATTTTCCCCTACTTCCAAATATAAATAGACCTCACCTTAAAAATCTTCACAAATAACTCTGACTTGAAAATAATTTACATTCTATACACTTAAGAAAAAATTAGGTCCAACTACAATTTCATCATCTCCCTGCTTCTCCAACTGAGCCCCACCAGCTTCTGCCCAGATGGAAGTGAGAACATTCTGATATACATTACTTTATGAAAAGCTTTAAGAGAGGCAATATGTGTTTCCTTCGATCCACACCACTAAACTCTTCTCCAAAATTACCCTGAGAAAAATACGATTGGGAGACCAAAACTCTGGTGCTCTCTGTATAAATAAATAAATATATGTGTGTATGTGTGTGTGTATGTGTGTGTGTGTGTGCGTGTGTGTATGTGTATGTGTGTGTGTGTGTGTGTGTATATATATATATATATATATATATATATATGATGTGATCATACATGATGTGATCAGGAATCCAGCTAGGTAGAATTCAGTCCTTAAAAACAAAACCATTTATCTGATCTTTGATCATTATATATATGATGTGATCATATATGATGTGATCAGGAATCCAGCTACGTAGAATTCAGTCCTTAAAAACAAAACCATTTATCTGATCTTTGATCAATATTTTGATTAAGAATAGTCAAAGTAAATTGATTTATTCTGAGTTGAAAACTATTCACTGAAACCCTACACTATGTTGCCTAATATAATAAGAACTAAAAACTTTTAGTGATGCCAAAGGTAAGAAACCAAAAACATAAGCAACAACAAGAAAAAAAGATAAATTAGACTTTATAAAAATTCAAAATGTTTGTGCATCAAAGGACATTATCAAGAAAGTGAAAAGCAATGTACAGAATGGGAGAAAATATTTGCAAGTCATATATCTTATAAGGATTTAATATTCAGAATATATAAAGAACTCCTACAACTCAACAACAAAAATACAAGCAACTCAAATTTAAAAATGGGTAAAGGACTGGAATAGAGAATTCTCTAAAGAAGATATACAAATGGCCAATGAACACATGAAAAGATGCTCAACATCATTAGTCATTACAGAAATGCACATCAAAACCACAGTGAGATACCATTTCACCCTCACTAAGATGGCTATTAAGAAAAAGAAAAAAAAAAAAAAAAAAAAAAAAAAATAACAAATATTGGCAAGGATGTGGAGAAATTGGAACCCTCGTGCATTGCTGGTGGGAATGTAAAATTCTGTAGGTGCTGTGGAAAACAGTTTGGCAGTTCCTCAAAAAGTTAAACATAGCATTACCATGTTGTTGTTGTTCTGTACCGTTGAGTCAATTCTACCCTACAGGACAGGGTAGAACTGCCCCATAGGGCTTCCTAGGCAGAAATCTTTATGGAAGCGGATTGCCAGGTCTTTTCTCCCATGGAGTACTTAACCACTGTGCCACCAGGGCTCCTTAGAACTACCATATGAGCCAGAAATTCCACTCTTAAGTATGTATCCAAAAGAACTGAAAGCAGGGACTCAAACAGACACTTCTACAGCATTATTGACAGAAGCTGAAAGCTGGAAAAAAAAACCTAAATGTCTAACAGATAAATGGATGAACAAAATACAGTATATGCAAAGAATGGAGTATTATTCAGCTATAAAGAGAAATGAAGTTCTGATATATGCCACCACACGGATGAACCTTGAAAATATTATGCTAAATAAAATGAACCAGACACAAAAGGACAAATATTGTATCATCATATTTATATGAAATTTGGAAACCCTGGTGGCGTAGTGGTTAAGTGGCTAAGTGTTGGGCTGCTAAGCAAAAGGTCGGCAGTTCGAATCCACCAGGCACTCCTTGGAAACTCTATGGGGTAGTTCTACTCTGCCTTACAGGGTCGCTATGAGTTGGAATCGACTTGATGGCAATGGGTTATTTAAAATAAGCAAATGCATAAAGACAGAAAGTAGATTAGTGGTGACTCTGGACTGGGGGGCTGTAGGGCAATGTGGAGTCATTGCTTAATGGGCACAGAGTTTCTGTTTGGAGCGATGAAAAAGTTTTGGAAATAGTTGTGATGGTTGTACAACATTGTGAACGTAATTAATGACATTGAACTATACACTTAACGTTAAAATGGCAAATTTTATGTTATATATATTTTACCACAAAGTTTAAACACATTTTTAAAATTTAAAAAATTTTTAAATCTTGTACATCTCAGAAGATTAAATTCTTATGAAATTAGCTCATTAAATAGAGAGGAAAAGGAAAAACCAACATAACAACAATAGGGCAGAGAAGAAATGACTTATAAAGGATATCCTCTTTTACCTGCTTCAGTTTTTTCTTCTTCTCTTTGCTAGAGAGTTTGGTGTCTGTTATGACTTCCTCCAACAAAGCTGCCAGAGGTTCCTGAGAGCCATATGCTCTTTGGTATTCAAATTCCTCTGGACTAATTTGACGGCAAAATGATGGGGTGGATAAAGTGATATCCATATCAGCTCCTGGGTATTTTATCTGAGGCAAGAGGATTAGTAGTGAAAGGAAACGGTGCATTTTCACATAAATTACTAAAAGTAGTTCAGATCAAACACCTGAATACCTCCAACAGGAATGTCAAGTCATTTCTCAATTTAACTGATAAAAAAAGTGTATATTGGAAAGTAAATTTCACAAAGATTACAAAAATTAGTTCAGATCAAACACCTGAATATTTCCAACAGGAATGTCACATCATTCCTCAATTTAACTGAGAAAAAACTCTATATTGGAAAGTAAAAGCATTTCCAAAACTTCAAAATAATATCACTTCAAGCTATAGTTTTATTATGAGACTTTTACCTTTTTAAACCCAATATCCATTTTAATAAACAAAAATTCTTATGTCCTCTTCTAATAACATCTGAAATTTGAACATAAGTTAAATATATTCACTAAAATAATTCAAAAGAGTTATACTGTTGAATATACATCGTGAAGCTATCCAGACTCCTTCCCATACCTGGAGAGTCTGATCCTCCCTCCCTTCGGGAAGGACAGAGGTACACAGCTAGCTAAGCTGTTATGTACAGACAGGTATTGCGATCAGCTTCAAACATGTTCATAGTGAGAATCAAGTAAAAACAACAAATTTGTAGACAAGGTATAAGGCAAAAGTGAGAAATAAAAGGAAAACATAAAAATCGAGACCTGAGAATAAATAAGCATCCATTAAAAATATTTAATTTCAGAGTCCAGGAGGTTCATGTTCTTAAAAATATAGCACCTAGGTGGTGTAAATGGTTAACATACTCAGCTGCTAACTGAAAAATTGGTGGTTTGGGTCCACCCAGAGGTGCCTCAGGAAAAAGGCCTGGCAATCTACTTCTAAAAAGTTAGCCATTGAAAATACTATGGAGTATACAGTTCTAGTCTGACACACATGGGGTCACCAGGAGTTGGAATCAACTTGACAGCAACTGGTTTGGTTACTATTCTGCTGAGATTTCCACTATTACATTCACTTTTTATTTTCCCAGAAGCCCCAGCTAAAAATAAATACATTGCTTAGAAGGTTATTACATTAAGCACATTCCATGCCTCAAACATCAGTTTACCAGATCAATTAGAGACAACCTAACAGAAACCAAGGAGCCCTGCTGGCGCAGTGGTTAAGTGCTCGGCTGCTAACTCAAAGGTCTACAGTTCAACCCACCAGCTCTGCAGGAGAAATATGTGGCTGTCTGCTTCTGTAAAGATTACCCAAAACCCTGCAGTCAAATCGACTCTGACTCCTAACTACCCTATAGGCCAGAGTAGAATTGCCCCAATAGGGTTTCCCAAGGCTGTAAAACTTTATGGAAGCAGGTTGCCACATCTTTCTCCCATGGAGCGGCTGGTGGGTTCGAACTGTCAACCTTTTGGTTAGCAGCTTAGCACTTAACCACTGCCCCACCAGGGCTCCTCCTCCATAAAGACTGCAGCCTTGGAAACCCTATGGGGCAGTTCTACTCTGGCCTATAGCATCATTATGAGTCGGATTCTACTCAACAGCAATGGGTTTTTTGTTTTTAACAGAGACCAGAGCTACAGTGAAAGAGGAATACATAGCACACTTCCCTTTTATTTGGAACAGAAAAGGGCCAGAATAAAGGCTGGGACCCAAGTAGTGTGAGATAGCCAAAAGCCTAGGGTGTGACAAAAACACCAGGCACCAGGGATTGAAAGGTGCAAATGGAAGAAGAGGGTTGCCAACAAGGGAAATAGAAGTCTGGTGCCAAAAATGTTGTCAACTTCATGATTTCGCCCAGGGTCATTCATGAAACTGCCCTAAGACAATTCACCAGAACAGTCAAAGTAACGCTGCATTTTCAGGGCAGCACTGCCTTGAATGGGATATGATTTAGGGGTTTAGTGTCTTATGTGAGAGAACAGAGATCCAAGGCTGTGAGTGCTGAAACTAACCGTAGTTTGGTTCTATGGAGTACTTTGAAGACAGAAAATACACTTGGGACAATAGAGAAGTTACTGCTTTTATTCAGTGTGTACCTCAGTGCCTCTTTACAAGATCATGCTTATCTGCAGTTAAATTAATCATCAACAGTTTAGCCTCTGATCTTCCACTGCCAGCAAAGTGTTCACAGGGCCAAGTTACTGAACACACGCCCGTGCTGTGTGAACACACAGACCTAGCAAGTATACAGAGCAACAGCATCACTGCGGAACTTCTACTTTCAGAGGTTCAGTGACGTACGTCTTTCTATTTTGTTCTGTTTTTTACTCTTTTTTTAATTTGGCCCACAGTAATATGGGGTGAAAAGTTTAAACTCAAATAAAACAATAGTTTAAGATTATACTCTTTATCCATTAAAATGGCAAAGTGATAATATCCAAAATAGGCAAAGGCGCAAAGCAATGAATACTTTCATATACCACTGATGGGAATGTAAATCAGAACAATCATCCTAAAGAGAAATATGGCAATATGTTATCAATATTCAATATGTGTTTATGCACTTTGACCAAGCAGTGCCACTCCCAGAAATCTATTCTAAGGAAACAAGCAGGAATCAGCCCCAAAATATTTAGCTATAAAAATATTTATTGTTACATTGCTTGTAAAACATTAAAAAAGGAAACAATCTAAATATCAACAAGAGAGTACCATTTAAATAAATTACGGTATATCCATGTTATGGAATACTATGTTGCCAACAATAATGAGGCTGTAGAATAATCTAACAATAATTATAATAACAAAAACAATGGCAGCTACTGTTTGAGGCTTTACTGTGCGACAAGCATTATTCTAAGCACTTTACATATATTAAGTCAGCCACTCCTTACAACAACCCTATGAAGTAGGTACTAGCTATTATTATTCCCATTTAAAGATGAAGAAAGAGACATGTTGAGGCAGATTTTGAAGCAAGGAGGCGCTGAGGCAGAGAGACATTATATAACTTGCCCAAGGTCACACAGCTTATAAAGGGCAGGTTGGGAATTCAAAAACAATTTAGCTCCAGAGTCTGTGCTCTTGGCCACTCTAGTGCCAATTAAGAATATGTAATGATGTGGAAAACCTTTCTCATTGTATGTTTCAGGAAGAGAAAACAAGTTACAAAGCAAAAAAGAAAAAATAAACGAAGAAGAAATAGACACAATATGTACACATAGAAAAAAAAACACCTGAAAGACTATAGTAATGACTATGAACATTTTATTAATGGCATTTTTTTGTGTGTATTTTTATATATTTTGAGTTTTCTTCATGTATTAGATTTATAGTTTAAAAAATAGAAAAAATATTTTAATTTTTAAATTATACACTGGAAACAATAACTGAACAGTTAATTACTTTAATAATACCTTATAAGACGTTTCACTGGTCCTTAACTGTAGAGCCTCAAAAAGTGCTTAAGAGGAAAGAGGTCCAATCATTCAGAAGAAGCTAAGCCTTCCTCTTGCCTCCCTTCACCAAAGATTTCTGCTCCCGTAGGCTTACAAACAAAGCTTGCTCTTGGGCCTACATGATAATAATATATTACATTGCTTTTGTGCTGCATTAATATAACAAGAATAATAATGACCTTTCAGAGAGAACCTGCCATATGTTAGAAATTTACCCTAGCATTACATTATAGTATTCCAACCTTCACAACAAGTTTATAAAGTAGGTATGGCCCATGTCAACACTTGAGGAAACTAAAACCCAGACAGGTGAAGGGACTTGCCCAGAGGCTAGAGAGCCAGGAGTACACCCAGGTCTTTATGGCTCTACAGATCATGTTCTTCTATCACATGCTTTATAGAAGCAGTATGGCATAGTAGTGATGAGCAATGACTCTGGAGGCTGACTTAATCAGTTTGAATATTGGTTCTGTGACCTTGGACAAGTTACTTATCTGTGTCTCAGCTTCCTTATCTAAAAAATGGGAACAGTAATAGTACCTAAAGATCCCTAGGAGGTGCAAATGGTTTGCTTTCAACTGCCAACCTAAAGGTTGGTGTTTCAAACCCACCCAGTGGTACTGCTAAAGAAAGGCCTGGCAATCTGCTTCCATTAAGATTACAGCCAAGAAAATCCTACAGAGGAGTTCTACTCTTTAACACACGGGGTTGCCATGAGTTGGAGTCGACTCAGCTGCAACTGACCATAACAGTAGGACCTACGTTACAGGTCTATTATCAATCAAGACATTTATTGCACATCAATCATTTCCACCAGCAACTATACAGGAGGTTTTAAACTAGCTCATTTAAGAAATTTGCAATCAAAAGTATGCAGCATTGATTGGCATAAACAAAACCAAACAGGCAAAGTTCCATAAATTTTTCAGTGGTAATAGTAAACATGTGGGTAGTGTTTACTATGTATCAGGCTCTGTTGTAAGCACTTCATACATACCATATTTCTACGCAAATAACACACGCCCTCTGAGTTTGTTTGCTGGTCACACCCTCCCACCACAAGGTATTTTCATAAGTGCGCTATGCTCAATTTTTTATACAGCAACATGTGGAAGAGGATTGGCATAGCCGCACTTGCGAGGGTGCCTTGTGGGGGGAGGGCACGGCCAGCAAACCACACAGAGGGCTCACGTTATTTGCATAAAAAAATGGTATTAACTCACTAATTCTCAAATCAAAAGTCCCAAGAAACCTTCCAAGGTAAGGTGACTTCCCACTACCAATTTTGTAAGACTGATAATATCCTCTCCTTTACCTGAACTCTTCGTAGGTGAGCTACACGTTCCTCTATAGAGGTCTGCAAGGCCACAGGAACTTTCAGAATCTCCTGGTAATTGTCCATGAGAAACGTCACCAACCTAGCAGCTAATAATTCATCCAAGTCTACGTCATCCTTGGAACACAAGATGCAGTGGGAAAATGTCTGAACCATCTAAAAAAAAGAAAAAATAGGATTTTTAAATATACACAGATGAGTTTTCTTTTCTGCTCTGAACTGTTGTTATTGTTAGGTGCCGTTGAGTCAAGACCAACTCATAGTGACCTTATGTACAACAGAACGAAACACTGCCCGATCCTGCACCATCCTCACAATTGTTATGCTTGAGCCCATTGTGACAGCTACTGTGTCAATCCATCTTGTTGAGGGTCTTCCTCTTTTTCGCTTACCCTCTACTTTACCAAGTATGATGTCCTTCTCCAAGGACTGATCCCTCCTGAAAACATGCCCAAAGCATGTGAGACATAGCGTCAACATCCTTGCTTCTAAGGAGCATTCTGGTTGTACCTCTTCCAAGACAGGTTTGTTCTTCTTTTGGCAGTCCGTGGTGTATTCAATATTCTTCGCCAAACACCACAATTCCAAGGTGTCAATTCTTCTTCAGTCTTCCTTATTCATTGTCCAGCTTTTGCATGCATACAAGGTGACTGAAAACACATGGCTTGGGTCCGGTGCACCTTAGTCTTGAGTGCAATCTAGTCTTCAAAAAGCACACTTGAATAGCCCAAGGCACAAGGTGCACATCCTGATACCTGGCCACCTCAGATGAGCTGACCTTCTCATGAACCAGCATGAACAAAACCTGTGCCTCACTTACGTTAAAGAGACCTAGCAGACAGGTGCTTGTCTGAGCAGCTCTTAAAGGAATCCTTTTTATGAGTAATTTTAAATATATGTATTAATAAGTTCTTAAAATTATGATGACCTCCATGACTTGGATCATAGATCACTTTTAAGTTCAAAGTACTTTATAGCCATTTAGTCAAATAAGATCCTAACTTCATTACTCATATTTAAAAAAAAAAAAAAACCACCTGATTGTATAGTCTGTATGCCTCACTGGTTACATTTTTTTCCTCATTATTACATTTTTTTTCCTCATTATTACATTTTTTTCCTCATTAACTGTTATTTCCTCTGAGAGTTTTCTCTAGGATTTTGGATGTACATTTGACAACAATCTTTGATCATAATCTTGAGAGTTTACAAGAAGTGCATTAAGTGATGAGATTCTCTTTATAATAAGCAGAAATATAAAATATATTGTAGAGGCTGCATAGAATTCATATTAACTATTCCATTCTTAATACTATCCCTTAGTTTGACTTTCTGTTTTTTGTTTTTCTTTTCCTTTTTCTGCTAATTTTATTGCTGACATACAGTGGAGGGGCAATTGATTAGAGAAAAGACACTATTAAGCTTCAGATGCTAACACAACAGATATTCAAAGATGAGCTAGTTTAACAACAGCTGAGGAGAATGTGAGGACTACAGAGGGCATCTCGATTCACAGGAGTCTGTTGTGCAACGGTTAACGTGCTCGGCTGCTAGCTAAAAGGTTGATGGTTCAAGTCCACCCAGAGGTGCCTCAGAAAAAAGACCCGGCAATCTACTTCCAAAAAATTGCCACTGAAAACCCTATGGAGCACAGTTCTAGTTTGACACACATGGGGTCACCATGAGTCAACGGCAACTGGTGATTACTATTATTATTATTACTAACAGAATGGATAGATAAAAATGTAGTTGCTCATTAGTCCAAAATTCCAGATCTAGTCAGTTACTAAAAATAGAAACAGCTACTTTATAGGGCAGGTAAAATATAATGAATGTGTCACGTGGAGGTGTTACTCTCTTATAACTCTGAGAATCTTGGTGGCTTTTAGGATTATTATTTAGTGTTTGGCTACAATCTCATCAAGCAGCAATATACTAAAAAAACAAAAAGCAAAACTGGGCTTTAGAGACCCACAAATGTAGGTAGAGAACTAGTGGAAAATATAAAATCTACCTTGATTTTTAATCCTCACTTATCCTGAATTACAAAAGTATATCAAATTACTAAATACTCTTGAGAAATAGTCTGTCTTGATGAAAAGATCTGAAGGTCTCATGTAAATTGGCAGAATGGTGTGGCTGCTCAGGATGTTGATGATTCCAAGAGGAAGGGGCCATTCCTTCTGCCCTAATACAGAAGACTGAAGGTTAGTAAGTGACAGACTTGAGATTAGAGCCTCATCTGTAGAATATTAGTCTTTGTCCTTTCCCCTCCAATGCTGTCTTTGGATGAGATTATACAGACAGTCACTAAGAGGTACTCCAAAAGTCACGTGTCATATTCCGATCTAAAAGATTCAAGGTGAGACAAAAAAAAAAAAGGCACAGCACACTCATCAGTATATCAGGAATCTCATCAGTATAGATGTAAGAATAGAATATACAGCATGAAGAGAATTTGAAATAAAGTCATGGCTTTTACTAAAGCAAAGTAAAAGACACGTATTTCTCTCTTGCTCCCTCACTCTTCTTCTCTCCCTCTCCTTGTCTCACCCTATCCTTATGGCTATGGTCAACCCTAAAAGGAAAACAGAATATAAGCTTATCATAGCTAAGAATAGATATGATAATTAAGACCAGCTGACACAAGTCAGCCACCTTAGTAAGTGTAGAAAAGTATTCACTTTCTTTTTTCTAAAATCCTTTGTTTAATATGGCCAGGGTCTTTGTAGTTCCTAGGGAACAAAAATCCTGGGGCACTGCATACTGGGCAAGCAAGATAGGTAGAAATATTCTGAGATGGATAAGTGGGTTTGCAATCTTATTTTAACACCTATAAGCATGAGATCATGTAATTATTCATATAATTTAATAAGACTTCATTACATTCACACACTACAGGTGACACTTTATCTTTACTCACATTTAAGTGTACAGAGAGACACATGGGCAGAGACTCTCCACCTGGTGACCATGGACCCCAGGGAATCTGTGAAATCCCTGAAATTGTATGCAAAATTTTGGACATGCATTTTGTTCTGGGGAGTAAGTGCAAAATTTTCACCAGCTTTTCAAAGAAATCCATTAGCACTCTCTGCCCATCCACCTACCCAAAAAGAAGTCATGAATCACTCTACTAGGGACTGAGTGACCCTCTGATCTTAGTCCATACTTCTGAAACTGGGCCCAGAGGATCACAGGGGTACACGGTGGTTTACCAGGACACACCAAGAACATACATTCCAGGGAAGCATCAATTTTGCTTCAAGACTTTTTTGGAGAGAAATTAGGAGATTTAACTAGTAAGTGACTCTAAACATAACCCTATTTTAAAACATACACTGACATATTACAAAGTGGAATTCAAAATGAGCATGTGTTTTTAAGCAAAACTGAGAAAACTTTGATAAATACCTTCATTCATGAGCCCTTAGACCCTAGTCCCAGGCTAAATGTTCTTTCTTTCCTCAAAGGTGTCTAGTCCAATGCTACATCTTATGTCTTCTCTAGTAGAGTGATTTCAATCCATTACATATGCTGCAGCTGTCCTACTGGTTATAGTAATAATGGCTTTGCAATGCTTTTTGTCCTGGAGTTGCAGAAAACATAGTGTTCTTGAGAAACCACTTATCCTTTCTGATCACCTTTTGTTCTCTCTGTGTTGACAGAAGGTATCAGTTTAAGAAGAGGTAAAATAGAATGCAGTAGTTCTCTACACTCAGAGTCTGCCCCCACTCACTCTTTTCTTTCCATTACGTTCTTTAAAACATGTACACCAAAAGCACAATACCAGTCTAGGTGAATTCCAAGCCATAGTTATTTAAGCAAGCCTGCCTCAAAATGTCTTCTGATTGCCCGAACAAAGTAACTTTATTGAATTTCATTCCAAAAATTCAAATCATGTTAGATGTTAGGAATTAACCTACCAGTGTTCGGGTGCCAACGCCATCACACAGTGGTGGCATCTCTTTGTTTAAACAGAGTCTTGCCATCATCCTCATCAACAGTTGTAACTTTCTCCTATTTTCAGGTGGCAGGAAGAGGCAGCAAATCTGAAATGCTTCAACAGCCATTTTCTCTTTCTGTAACAAACCTGATTTAGAAAAGAAGTTTATGTATTTTAAAATATATAACTTATATGACTCTGTTATGTTCACATTTGTAATAAATACTTATCACTAAAATTATGTAAAATATTTTCACATATTCAACTATATTTGGACCAATTGATTATAGACCCTCTGTCACTCAAAAATCAGCATATACAATAACAACAAAAAAATAAAAATCAAAAAATAAAAAAAAAAAACATAGAAAATATAAAACATCAACCAGGAATATAGAACAGATATAGTCATTTCTCACTCCCACGCCCCTGACAGACGAACTAGTTTTCATAGCATTCTTTCCCGGTGAACAGGAACAGTCAGGCTAACCCGATTCTTCCTTACTCAATACTCACACTATTATCAGGTCCAAGATAGTATGAGCAATAATACAAATGTGCCATTGCTGCTGCATTCTTCCCCTGGTGTTATTTTCTCACGATCAGCAGCGTCACCATCTCGCATGACTCTCACAATTTACATAACAATACTAAAGTTCCCAGAACCCAAAACCAAACCCGATGCCGTCGAGCCGATTTTGACTCATAACAACCCTGTACGACAGAGTAGAAATGGTCCATAGGATTTCCAAGGTGGATTCGAACTGCCAACCTTTTGGTTTGCAGCTGTAGCTCTTAACCACTACACTACCCACTGCAAAATGGATCTACTTCTTTTTAAGTAACACCCGTCAAATAACCCTTCCTTCTACATAGACTGTTTGTTCTAGCTAAGTGTACTAATTTTATCATGTTACACACCATCCACCTCACCTCGGGTATAATTTTACTAAAAATTAGGGTATTTTAATACTGTACTTTCCTCAGCTGTATTTGTCACACCCATATCCAAACCTTCTAATGAGGTGAAGCTGCTTCCACCAATTTACTTGCTCTATATCCAACTTTTTAAGTTCCCACTAGACTCACTTGAAGACAAAATCACCTTTTACTTCATTCAGTAAATATTTATTAACCATGTATGATATGCCAGGAGCTGTGCTATGTTCTGGAGATAAAAGATATGTCAGGTCCCTTCCTTTAAAAGGTTTACACACTGTGAGAAGAAGAGACCCATAAACAAATAAGTAGCAAAATGGAGAGGTGCCGCAGGAGATGTCTGTACGGGGCATATTAGGGAACCATAAATCATTCAATATGACTGAAGCACAGGCTGTGAGGGCGAGGACTTAGTAAAAACAAAGCTGGAATACTGGCAGAGCTGAGATATTAGAAGGCCTTGAATGGCATATTAAGGAGTTTGGGTTCGATCCCACAGGCAATATGGATGTGCATGGGAGGGACAAGGAGGTAAGAAGAGGGGTCTTTTATATACCAAGTTCTGATCCTAGATGTATTTCAGAAACTTACCTCTGATTGTCACCATTATCATCAATGCAGACTTGCTTTCAATTCTACATAATCAAATCCATGGAAAGAAAAAAGGTTTATGACCATATTTTAATTATTTTTGTCATTTAGTCAATAAAAAAAATATTTATTAAGCCCTGCCTATATTCCAAGAACTCATTTAGGAGAAGACGCGCAGTGGGGCGCAAACCAAAATCCCTGTCTGATCTCACAGACCTAACTTCCTGGCAGAAGCGTTAGATAATAAACAAACAGATATATACAATGATGTCAAGTGGAAAGATACTGTGAAAAACAATAAAGCAGGAAAGGAACTGGCGAGTGACAGGATGTGCTCAGGGAAACATCTCTAGAGTTTCAGGAGTGGCCTACCTCTGACATTTGAGTGCAGACCTGAAGGAAATGAGAGTAAGCCGTGGAAATATCAGAAAGAGGAACTTTCAAGACAGAGAAAATAGGAAGTACAAAGACAGTGAATTGGGAGCAAGCTTGGGGTCTTAGGAACAGCAATCAGGACAGTGTGAAAAGAGAGAAGTGTATAAGGGAAAGTAGGAAATGAGGTTAGAGAGGGAGCCAAGAACCAGATCCTGGTCAGAGCTTTGGGGGCCATTGTTAAGGATTTCACTATCAGTGACCTGAGAAGCCATTGGAGGTTTTGAGCAGGGGAGTCACTTGATCAGAATTATTTTTTATTCTGGCAGCTGTAAAGGGAATAGACTGTAAAGGGCTTACAGGACAGGGAATGGCCAGTTAGGGGGGTTACTGCAACAGCCGAAGGAAGGCACGATGATGTCTGTATGGGGTTGTAGCAGTTGCAATGGTAAGAACTAGTTAGATTCCAGATCTATTGCTCTACAAATTCTTCCACTTTTTCCATGGAGTCTTGTATCACCATAGTTCACAAATACCTCCTTTTTCCAAACTACTAAAAAACATTTGGAAAGTGAGATTTCAGTTAAATCGTAAGTAAAGAATAAGTCTCACATCTCCAAAAATGTCACAACTTCTTTTTTTAAGAACTCTGAGAGTTCCTGTTTCATGCATCAATAATAATTAACTGCTCTCTGGGTCACAGCTTTGGCACCAAGTTCAACCATGCTAGAAGCAAACCTTAACATATTACACGTTCATATACTGTTTTGTGAATAAGGCTATACATTAATTGAAAGCATAATGGATTTATTTTAGCAAATCATATATCCTAGTATAGTGTTAGACATACAGAATAAATATTCAAATGCCTGTTCATCAATAGACTATTACATGGCTATTAAAAGTGATAATTTTTAAAGTTATACATCAATATTTGTGATACAAGAAAAATACCACAATAATAAATTGTAAGTATACAGATTACAAAAACATGGTTTAAAAAAGGTATTAAAAGGAATATGCAAAGTAACAAAACAGAGGTAATGCTCTGGGGTCTAGTTTTAGACAACACATTCTTAGATATGACACCAAAAGAAAGAACAACAAAAGACAAAATATATAAATTTGGCTTTATCAAAATTAAAAACTTCTGTACAACAAAGTAGAGAGACGACGTAGAGACTGTGAGAAAATATTTGCAAACTACATATCTGATAAGGGTTTAATATCCAAAATATATAAAGAATTCCTACAATTCCACAACAAAAAGACAAACAACCCAATTAAAAACTAGACAAAGAACGTGATTAGACATTTCACAAAAGAGGATATACAAATGGCTAATAAGCACATAAAATGATGTTCAACACTATAATTGTTGTTGTTACATACCCTTGAGTTGGTTCCAACTGATTGCAATCGACCCTATATAAAACAGAACAAAAATACTGCCCTGTTCTGCTCCATCCTCACAACTGCTTCTATGTTTGAACCCACTGGTGCAGCCACTGTGTGAATCCATCTCATTGAGGGTCTTCCTCTCTTTTGCTGAACCTCTACTTTACCTAGTATGATGTCCTTCTCCAGGGACTGGTCCCTTCTG